TGACAAAAAATTTAAATTTTATATCTTTATGTTTGAAGCCTGAAATGTGGCGAAATGTTGAAAAGTTCAAGGGGGCCGAATGCATTCGCAAGGCACTGTATGTGGAGGAGCATATAGCAATGTGTGTCAATGCTGAGGGGAGTGAATTTTTTTGGACCACTCTGGTTTAGTCGCTGTGATTTTTTGAAGGCACTCGTTCAAATGAATGGGACTCTCGCCGGCTGACGCATGCGCAGATGTGTTTTTTCACAATTTTCTGAGCAAAATGTTAAATTAAATATTAACCTCTATTTAAGTTATGCTATGAATAAAAGCTCTATGGGACATAATTTCCTTTGAATATTGTAACCATTTTGATTTAAATAATGTATTATCCACCTGAACTGAGAAAGACCCATAATATAGCCATTTTTTATTACAAATTAAGTGAAAAGTGGCAGATTTATCGGAGCAAAATGAGAAAAGCCGAAATGTTGTTTGGAGTAGTCTGTGTTAGCATTGCAATTATTGTTCCTCAGACAGTCACTGATAATGTTCAACAGCCATAAATAGTAGTGCTCGCTTCCCTATGTTTGTGTCACTCATCCCAATGAAAAGAATGGGTCTTTCAAACAATGTTATTTCTCACTGAGATGACTGAACGTCCCTAGCTCATAACTGTGGAACTGACATGACAACCCATGTGTTGATACTGTAGAAGTGTCCAAAACCTTCTATTGTTTTATTATACCTAATCCACAGGGCCTATTAGTATTAGTCGATTTATTGGGGACTGAGCATTATTGTGTCTGTTTGCATTCAATTTTGGCAATTGAAAATAAAAGGTTTTTGGTTTGGGTTTTAAAACGAACATTTAATTCTCAAATAGATATAAAAGTTTACAACTGTATTGTAATGGTAAAACACACACTGATTTATTCATTACAGGGACCACATTACACTGAGCCAGGATGATTTGTGCTTACTATTTGTGAGCACGCACGATTAACAGTGGCTGGTGATGGTTACAAATAACGCAGATATGATTTGTTATTATAAACAGATTTTCACCAAAATTAACAGTCAGTAACAAAGTGTTGTGAGACAGAGATGTGTGTATGTGTGAGTGCTGCCCTTGAGTTTCTGGCAGTGGAGATGGATGAGCTGTAATTACGTTGATAGAGAGATGATCTGAAGAGGAGAAAAATACAGGGAGAAGGAGAAACAAGGTTGTACGTAAATGTGTCCTTGAAGGAGAAAACATCACGTCAATATACATCTGTTTTGGAATATTGTTCAAAGTGGTATAATATCAAGCCAATGATAGCCAATCACAAAATATGTCCAAACACATTCCCTAACCCCTCATTCACATAGCTCCCACTAAATAGTAGATTATACACTCACATAAATATTTAGTCCAACTTTCAACATTTAAATCTCGAGAGACTCACACAGACAAAACATGGTATTAGAATTGTATGTTGTTTGGCGAGTAATCTGACACTACATAAATTACACATTGGGGAAAACATTTTCAAGATTACATTTATTGTGCTGTTCAGAATGTGGTTAGGATTTGGCCTTAGACCCCGGCAGAGCACTGCACAATTGTAGAATGGGAAAGACATTATGAGATGAAATCCCCTAGGGCCTTGATCATGGTGGTGGTAGCAGGAGAAGGATGAAGGAGCTGGCCTAGAACAAGGGAGAGATGGGGAGGAGGAGGGTTGCTGCTTGGATGGAGCTTCTGCGCAATATGAAGCTGATGCGGGCAGATTGCTGCAGGTGAGGATTTGCATGTGGCGCTGCACAGTTGAGTGTGATTGACTGATTGCTGTTGCTGTGGGCAACAGCAGGAGGACTTGGGTTCCAAAAAAATCCAAATCAGAGAAGTTAGTCTCAGGGTCACTCAAATGCCTCTGCAACGGCAAAACAGTAAGTATTTTCATTGCATATTAAAACAACTTCTACGACTTCTTTTCCCAATCGCTTCCTTTATAAATGTTCTTATAATGTGTTTACATAGCTCAATTAAGGTTTTCTTGCCTCTGAAGTAGTCCTTAATTAAATCAAAAAGAAATATTTGTTCGGACGACCCCTCAGCCAAATCAGTACTGAGGGAATTTGGAGTTCAATGACAAAAACAAAAGGTATGCCATGTCTCAGTTCCCTTTCCATTTTATATAGCGTCGTTTTGGACTCTTAAAGACGCTTCTAATGTCATTATTATTTCACGTGATACACAGTGGTGATAAACTACAAATGTATCCACGGCTGCCTTGGGTCACACTGACAGAAGCGCAGCAATTAGTATGTGCAATCAGCCCCTCTGACCACCACCAACCATTCACACACACACCAAACTCATTCTAGTCAATGAGAGTGAAGTGTCTTGCCAAAGGACACAACACCGCTATGGCATCTGGTGTACCTAGAGGTCTGCCGTCACTGGCTGCAGGTATGGCGTTTAGATTTTTGGAACAAGTCAAGCATGTACGGAGTTATAAAGTCTCAAACAAACTCGACACTGACAAAAAATGCACAATTGATTGAGTTTGTTTGTATGAGGGTTGAAAACCACCCACACAACAAAATGAAGATGAACTATAAAGAAAGAAAACAAAAAAAAGTCAATGGTCAATATGAGAATTAAGGTTTACAAAGCACGTGATGAAAGTGACTGTGACAGGCACGCACACTACGTTACACTTGCTGTGATCCCAAAACTAGACTGGGCTTTACAATATGCGAACAAGGCCCAACAGATTTGGGAAAGTAAAATATATCATTTACTTCAAATGTACAAAAAAAAATAGCCAAAAAAAAATAGCTTTGCTCTCGATGTGAAAGTGCAGCATCACTCTCTGCAGCTTTTGTGCCGTTACCAAAATAAACCGCTGCTGCCCTCAGCCGCGTTAGGAGCCATTTTCACACAAATACCATCTATTAGCTTCACTTATCTCTGCTTGCCCCCAGCACAAGCTTTTCAGGCACAATTCAAACTTCCTGTGCGAGTCCGCCTGTCTCTCTGACAGACGGACTCGCAAGTTTGAGCCCAAGAACCCTCACTTACCCTTAGGAACATCTCAAGGATCACATAGCTGGCCTTTTCGTTATAACTATACGATGGCACACTGGCTCAACATTACATCACACATCTATTGAGTACTTCATTAGAAAGGCTCCAGAACATGTTTATAAACATTAATCACAAATCAACTTTACTTCTGTCCTTGGCATAACCATCAAAAGACTAAAGATACAAATAATATTAATCTTGAAAACACCTTCTAAAGACTTAGAACTATTAGTAAAGTGTATTTTTGGTCAAACAAAAAGATTTTTTACCATGCACAAACAATGTTCAGAGTTTTGAGCATTTCTTTGTAAAAAATGATATCTCAAGTCAAACAATGAAAGTTACGTATTGTGACAATGGATCTATAATAATATCTGGATAGGGTATTACTACCTTATAGCTGTCCCACCAATGGGCACAGGGGGCGCCCATGGTAACGCAGACTAGAGCCCTGCACTTGAGCCCTTGGCCCGAGGGCCCCGACGGCCCGACAGCCTGAGGGCCGGGCTTCGGGCCGATGACCGCATAATGACCTCGGACACGGGCCGGGCTCGGGCTCTTCATTTTCAGAGCGGCAGAATACATTTACTAACCTGGCAAAAGCCAGATTGATGATTGTGTAGAACTCTAACGCGTTCTCCGCGATATCAATCTGGGATTTCTCCCGGAGAATCCTTTCGGGGAAAGGAGGGGTAAGCAGCAGAATACTTGAAGCTGATTGGGCGAAGTGACGCTGTGTGCCCGCCTACCAAGGTTGCCGTCCAGAAATGTACAAAGCGCCTCTCGCTGTTCATCTTTCAAAAAAGAAATTGGAGATTCTGCTAAAACTGACTTTGCGTCCGTCCTCCTGCGTAGCCATGTTTGTTTTGCTTCGGCCCGGCACTTCTTGCTTTCGTCAAACCCGGATATCCCGCCCTAAACCCCCAGACTGGCGCGTGATTGGCTCGCACACCCAGTGGTTCGACTCGAAAAGTGTAAGCGGGAGCGGTACAAGATGTATTCTCGAGTGTTTGTGAACTCACAAATACCGCGAGAATTCAGCTTGCAGGCAAGGTTATACATTTACGAACGCACCCACTGAGTATAGCGTTCTACCACGCTGTAGTGTTTGTTGTTCTGTGTAGTGTTGTCATTGACGGTACATTGCGTTACTTACAGGTGTGTTGCAGCATCTGGGCATCATACAGCTGTGTATCATACAGCTGTGTATCATACAGCTGTGTATCATACAGCTGTGTATCATACAGATGCGGCCGTTCACTCTGCACCACTCCGCACACACAGAACTCATTGCAACACATCACTACCATGTATAACTCCGCCCTCTAGCTAAGTCTGCGTTCATATCAGTGCGCGGCACTATATACTACGCTAAAACATTGTTATGGGAGGTTACAAAAAAAAAAAAGGCGGGCTTGATGCGGGTTTCGGGCCTGAAAATTCAGAAACCATATCGGGCCGGGCCGGGCTGGGGCGCCACCCCCTCGGCCAGGGCCGGGCTGGGGCCCAGATAATAGGCCCGTGCAGGGCTCTAACGCAGACTAAATTCATGTGGGCTACCCAGAAAAATGTCCCATAGAACTCAATGTAAACTAAATCAGCTTGACCTAGAGAGAGACAGAGAACCTACAACTTTCATAAAGGTCAGATTTGGTGGGGATTTTAGTGTCCCTTGTCATCCTGAACTTTTTTTCTTGTTAAATCTTTCGGTTTTCTATAAGTATACACTTTAATGCAACAAACTCTGCTCATCCATTGCTCAGAACCGGGAGGACTGGAGGATGCCCAAATATGGGCGAGTTCCACTTATCTTTTGGCCCCCATCTGAATCTCATTGCTTTTACTTAATATAAATAGCTTCTCCTTAATATAAATCACAAAAGAGTTTTCAATCACAACGCTATCTTCTGTGTAGATATAAGTTAAACCCCGCTCTTACCACCACGCCGCTGTCCGTCTGTGTCTCTCTGTAGGTGAAGTTGCACACGGCCCAGGCCAGGTAGTACGTGGACATGCGAGGGGTGCGGCTGAAGCGGTTAGTGACCCAGGCGTCTTCACTCAGCACTGTACTCTCCACCGGCATGTTGGACAGAGAAATGTACTGCGGGTCGTGGCGCAGCGACAGGGTGAATGTGGCTTTGTAGATGGGCTCGTCGAAGCAGGGGAAGGCCTTACGGGCGTGGATCGGGCTGAACTGGGTCACTGCCAAGTACCTGTGTCACATAGATATCATATATTTAGTAAGTGTAGACAAGGTACATAATTTAAAGCTGGGGTATATTCATAAATACAATAATGCATGATGTTTGTACCAACAAGAGCCTTATAAAAAGGAAAATGTGAAAAAAATCAGATCAAAACACTTTCCTTGCGCTACCCTAAGGTCAAATAACCCACTACAGATGATTAAAACTTGAAGAAAAAATACCCTACAGTAAATCCTGGTTTTTCAATCCCTGTGGTGGGTTAATTTGACCCAAGGACAGCTCAAGGGTTAAGAAAGAGCCTTGGGAGTCACTATTGAAGTATTTGAGCAGAGAACGAAGTGAGGGTGGTTCTCCCTTCTCCACTTTTCTGACTGAAAAAGCGGATCGAAAGATGTAACGGAGGCCAAAAATACATGCATGTGGAAGGTAGTGTTACAAATCTTGTTACAATAAAAGTATATATGTTACAGAGCTTTTTTACATTATAACAGTAAATGTTTGTATACATAAAAGAAACCCTTCAAACAACTCTGGTATTGTTTATACATTATTATTTGTATCCATCAATTATTTGTGGAAAGTTGGTTTAATAATAGACAGAAGTGTGCAGGATATATTATGTAAAATAAAAATAGTTGTCATGTTGGACACCACTGCATAAGAGCATAGATTAATTTTCTCACTTGCATTGTCAGAAATGGCAGGTCAGCATGTTTGTCAGGAGTTGGCAAAAGCAAAACATGGACCACAGAAGAATAAAGTAAGTGTATGCAGAAAAAGAGCGGCTTTATGCTGCGAGAGCCAGGTCCAGTCATAATGCATTTGTAACCATGACAACAGCCTTTACATGAATACAATCCTCATCAAAGACAAAGAATAGATCAAGGTGGGCTGAAATAAATGTGTTGAAACTGAAAAAGCATTTCATACAGGGGGTGGTTGTTTTCTTCTGTCTTTAATATGAATGAATGAATGAATGAATGAATGAATGAATGAATACTTTTTATTTCGAGCCATGTCAGACAAGAACAAGGAACAGCAGCAAAACAACTGAATGGAAAAAAAACAATACAAACAAATAAACAATAAATAATAAATAACAAAAAGTCAGCTCGAAAAGGAGTGGGAAGAAGTTAAGACTTCTTCCCACTCCTTTTCGGGAGTTTTCATACATGTCATCTTTTTCAATGACATGTATGAATGAAAATAAAACATGAAAATACATATTGAGAGAGAATCATATTTTTGCCTCAGCAGAATTTTCATTTAATCCCATGCATTATAAGGATTATGACTGGAATTATGTTAATAATCGATTAGTTGTTTGGATCTGAAAGGTTGATAAATATGTGATTTTGTTTATACATTTAACCAAATCAAAGCTGGTTACACACATTGATTGAAAATACTTTTTAAAACACATTTTAATTTCAATCTGCAGTCATTGTCGAATTTTATTGATTAGTTGCGATCAATAGTAGCCCTAGTATGTATTCTCACAGAGAAAGAAGAGTTGGATGCAGAGATGGCTATAAGGCCAGGTCACAGCAATCTGCCCTCAACCACTTAAGCAAAGCAAGACAATGTCATCTCCGGCACGATAAAAACCTCCCAAGAGAATCTGTGGAAACCTTGCTGTTATCAAAATGTCTCACCAAAAACACCTATTTGGACTAAACTTAAATTAACTGTCCTTAAAACACACCCAAACCCCTGAAAATAGTGTTTAAGTTGTATTCATAGATACCAGTTCCATTCTTCAAAAAATCCTGGATCCAGATTTGTTCCTTGTCCCATTGGGTTTACTGATAATTTTTTTGTAAATTTCCACCCATGACCATTTGAGTTATCTTGCAAATAGACAGACAAACAAACCCTGGTGAAAATCTACCCCCCTGGTGGAGGTTTCATGCTCTAACACACTGCTGTCTATTGCCCATGAGACCAATTAAGAGTACCCAGATCACAAAGATAAAGGTGAGAGACTATAGCGAACACGAGAACCTTTTTCAATTTCTAGTTTGTCTTAGGCCCTGTGGCAGCATGGATCCTGCAGTAAACCTCCTATTTCAGTGCAGCACACAGAATGGACGCGGAGCCGGAGCAGTGATTACTGCATAGAAAGAAATTCTGTATCAGGCGTACACAAAGATGCATGTACAACGTTTTAAATCTTGTGGACCCTGGGACCCGGCCACAGAAAGTGAAAATTCCAAGTAAGAATAGGTTGTATTTGTGTTGTAGAATTCTATTTGAGTTTGACAATACAACTCCATATGAAAGACGCACAAACAAATTTTTAAAGGAATGTTTTCCCAGATCATTATTCAAAGCTGTCCTAAAGTCCATCTTACTGCCCAACATCAAGAATATGCCTATTGAATATCATCACCACTTCTTGAGCCCATATGAGAAAATAATTATACAAAAGTTTATAACAAAAAAAGAGATAGAACTTTCTCATTCCTGGGACAATAAAGATTCACAAAAACAGTGTCATGGGGGGAGGTGAATGAAGGAAGGACTCAAAATGCAGGAATGCCAAAAAAAAAACATTTAATGAAAACAAAATAAAAGTCCAGGTTAAAACTCAAAATCCAAAGGCACAAGCAGCAACAAAACAGGAACAGCCGTGGACAAGACATAGACAATACAATGGACTAGCAACAAGGGGAGAGAAGCACAGGGTACATATAGACACACAGAGACACAGGTGAAACACATCAGGGCGGGGCAGACAATCAAGACTGGGGAACAAGACAGGAAGCAAAACTAAAACCAAACCACAACAAGACCAATTTCAACATAAAATAAAATTACAAAAATAAAATCCACACCATGACAAACAGTCACTTATAAAGTATTACTAAAATATAAAAACTATAAAAGGGAAGATTGTTCAGCTTCATTTCACAATTTTCATCAAAAGGGCCTTTGGAATGTTGTGATGTCACATGAAAGTAATCTCTCGGCTGTAATTGGCAAATTGTGTTTGTGGCTCTCAGATGTCAGTCGCTCTACAACAGGGACAGGACTTTTTGCCACCCAAAACAAACCTGTGTGAAATTGATCTCTACGCAGTGTATATTCACAGAAGATGGAGGGACTGTTACACTCTAAAAGCAGTGATTCATGAAAAATAGGTAAAATCATTTTTTTTTCTTCCTCTTTAACTGCAGACAAACCATTGAGGCAGAAGTCTTCAGTCGTCGCCCAGTCCTCTCCTCACCTGACACCCATGGAACCCTCGTGAGCCCACTTGGGGATAATTCAATGTGTGTTGCAGTTGTCTGTGTTATTTCTATAGTTTAAGAGCCATCGCCAAGACAACGGAGGTTGTGCAGAATGGTTACATTGTTTACAAAGCTTGTAGATCTGTAGTATTAACCCTGGATGGAGCCTGTCCCCTTTAATACTTTGGTAATTGTTTAAGCAGCTAAAGGATGCCTTAACTATAAAGTTTTTAAAAAGAAAATCAAATAAAAAACATAATTTGATATTATTCATCAATAATGTGTAAATAATATGATTATTTATAACGTAGATGTTTCAAGATGTTAATGAGTTAATCATATCAAGTACACATGTCATAAGACAGGTCAATGTATTTCTTTGTCCATGTACTTTGTGTGGGAACATGTGAGCAACTTACGAATACTATGATTGTTCAGGCCTTTTTTACAATAAAATATCATGTATTGTTGTGGTGTTTTTGTTGTGTCTTAGTTCTCACAATTTCACTATAGCAACCTTTATATTGAGCAAGCTGTGTGTCCTTAAACAACCATCTTTCTTACCATGCTCTATGTATGTATTTCAAAGCAGAATCAATTAAAGAACTCCAGACAGAATAAGAGATGAGATGAATGTGTCTTGTACAAGGATTGCTCAGTCACAGTCTTTGAACTAGGCAAACTTATCAAAGAGGAAATTTACAAAACTAAGAGGTTAAAGGATAATACCCCGGAGACTGACTATGCAGGTCGGCTCGCAGCTTTACATAAAACTTTTGACAGTCGTTTGCATTTTTATAAAAAATACACACTTCAGTACTGAGATAATCCACAATAAACAGAGACTCCCTGCTCCACTGCGATTCCCTTAAGCTGCGCTGATTATTCCCATATCACAGCGACGTTACGTCCGTCTGTCTGTCGTCTAACATGCAACATAAAAAAGTTGACTCTGAGAATTAATCCTCTTGAAAAGTTTTGTTATCATTTGACACCGGGTTGGGAGAGAAAGAAAACATGAAAGAAAAAGGGGATGGTGCAAGAAGGGGTAATGTAAAAGGTGTGCTGTTGGGATAAAGGCCCCATAGAAAAAGACAGACACTGTAAAGAAATAGGAAGATGAAACCTGTCATAGTTGAGTTAGAATGAATGGATACAACGCGTGGGAGGGGGATGGAGAAAGGTACAAGCAAGTCCAGAATAGGAAGAGAAACCAGCAACACGGGCCAGGATGAAAGCAGCAGAAGTCTCCATCTAAAGAAGGAAGAATGGGTGACATGCAGGCGCAATTGAACACAGAAAAGAAGAGGTGGTGAGTAGAGGTGGTTCAAGGATTAGAGCCAGACAGTGTTGACAGAGGGGAATGCAAATTAGAACATTTAAATTAGGAGAACAGAAAAACGGGACAAAGAAACTCACAGGTCCATTGCATCATGTTTACATCCAACCAATCAGAAGACCGGCCTCATGGACACAGTCATATTGGGCAGAGGAAAACACTTGAATAAAACATTTTTTTTTCACAAAATGGAGGCCGTCTGCTGCCTCCCTGAGCTATTTACGTTCTAAGTTTTCACATAAGCGCTACATCTGTGACTTAAGAGGGAAAACAACATGAAGCAAGACATACATGAAATGCAGTCAAGTGTGAATGTTATTTCTTGTCCGCTTGCGTCTACACAAAATAAATAAATCATAGTCAGGAGTTGTACGGCAGTTATGGTGCCAGTGGAGGAAGGCTTAATGTCAGAAGAAAACTTCTGTGGCTTGTGT